GCTCAAAATCGTAAAATCGTCTTTATCGCGGTTTTTCCATGAACAGAGAGAGAAGCGACGATCTTATCGTGACTTTCCGTGGATGCCACGAAAGTCGTGGGCATGGCTTTGGCGCGGTGTGTTTGTTGTTGTCCAAGCGCTATGCTCGCTCACCGCTCAAAGATGGTTTGAATCCCACAGGTTTTTGCGGAATCCTTCAAGGCTCTAGGCAGCTGAAGTGTTTTCGCATATCTATTACAAACACGTAGCACATGATCTAAGCTCTTCACTCGTTTCTGTACCTTTTTTTCTTGGCGCTGCATTTGGGGGGGGATAAATTGGAGCCATTTTTTTCATTTACAGAGTCCCCCTTCATTTTTTTTCTATTCGTGGCATAAATGTGGATTATCTAAAGGCTTGGAGGATGTTTTCCGAGTAAACAATCCTTGAATAAACAACTGCTGATGTTTTTCTGAGCAGAAAGCTTTTTTTCCCCAAATTACTATACGATGATGAAATTGTTGAGTTAGCGGCCTAGCTCAATGCAGAGATAAAGATCTCAAGAACTTCAAAAAGTTATTACGGATAAAATTCTCAAGAACTTAAAAATTGTGTTGGTATCTTGAATTTTATTCAGAAGATGTGTTTCAGCGACTTCTTGGAATTTGTTCGATCATTTTTGAGGCCTGGAAAAGTGCAGGGATGCGCTTTATTTATAGTCGTGAACGTATTTGTAGACTTATTTTCCCATAGAAACGCATTCGGTCCAATTTTTGTCAACTGATCAATAGCTGATTTTTTAGATAAACATAGTAATGGACAAAAAATGATCCTTAACGTTAGCGGTCTTCCGTAAGGTCCGGTAGCGAAGCAGGTCCATTAATGGTTGTAGTGCTGATTCTCGACTGTAGGAAACCTATAGAGGGTAAGAGGAGCAAATTTGTGACGTGTTGTTAATTTGCAAAACAATTGCTCCCGGTGAGGCTCGAACTCACGACCTTCAGATTATGAGACTGACGCGCTGCCGACTGCGCTACGGAAGCACATTGCTGCGCGTCGATTACACTCTTCACATAATTGCGCTGGCAATTGTCGGCGCAGTTTCGGTGCGAATGGCTCCATAGTAGAAACGTAACTTTGCTTAACGTCTGCTGTTCTGTTTAGAAGAACGCATACTATGATTTCATACCTATATAATAGTGATAAACTATCTATAACACGGTTATTGATTCACTCTTTTAACAACCGTAAGTTTCTAGGGGGTTTTTAGGCGGGCACTTTTTTGAGGGGATTGGTGGAGATTTCGAAGGACGTGGGCCGATGTCAACCCTTGAAAGGCGCCAATTCTGAGGTTTTTCCGTAGAGACCTAGTTCGCATACTATGATTTCATATCTATATAATAGTGATAAACTATCTATAACACGGTTATTGATTCA